GGTAGTTTAACAAAAGTCAAAGCTTATCAAAATTTTTCGATGTCATTAGCTAGGATTTTTTTGGATATTTTATGAACATTGTTTGTGAAGTGAGACGATACCTGCAGTAAATCTTGAAATCTTGCTCACTTTCAACTTTCTTATTAAATGTTTGCATCAATTTGACGGCCCTTTCAGTATGGTCCTTCACTACTTCAAGGGCTAAAACAATTTGGTACATATGAATGTATTCCGGGCTTTCTGGCCAATATACTGGGTCTATATCTAAAAATGCCGATGAAATACCAAGAATGTCAACAAAAAGCCATGCTATTTTTTGTAAATAAATCAGTTAGTCTGGTGAATTCCTCAGGCAGAGCATCTCGACGTCTGAGTGGGGCAGGGAGGCCTGAATTATGTTTTAAATTATAAACACACAGCATCTTCTTCTCCGACGAAATTCTCTTATCGAAGAGAGACAGAGGGACGAGCACTTCACTCAAGTACCATGAGTGATTTGAAAATTTCTATAGAGCTCGCCTCCTGCTAAAGGATCAAATTTTTTAAAGTCTACTAAGTCTTTAATGAGCTGAAGGTCATTTTTGGGAGCGCCAGCAAAATGGGGAGAACGAAACGGACATTTTATATACACCTTAACAATAAAAAATATTAACGTGAAGAATTCCTTTTTGTTTCTCTCCTGTAAGGGGGAACTAATTTCTAAACATCCAGATCTTCAGAGCGTGAATCGCCTTATTCATCCACCGAGCCTTATTAAATGAAATTGTGAAGGACCATACTGAAAGGGCCGTCAAATTGATGCAAACATTTAATAAGAAAGTTGAAAGTGAGCAAGATTTCAAGATTTACTGCAGGTATCGTCTCACTTCACAAACAATGTTCATAAAATATCCAAAAAAATCCTAGCTAATGACATCAAAAAATTTTGATAAGCTTTGACTTTTGTTAAACTACCTAATATTGCTATTGTTGCCAAAAATATGTTACTACGCAAGTTGGGCGATGGTACGCTTAACTAATTTCATGCCGAAGACGTTTTTAAACATTGAACAATTTATATTAATTTTTAAGAGCCTTATCAGAATTTTAACTGTCCTCTCTCTGAAGAACAACATTGAGTCTCCGTCTTGCAATAACAGCGAATCAATAACTCGTGTTTAGCATTTTATTTTCATTCATTTATTTATTTATTAATTGATTTATTTATATTTTTATTTTTCTTTGCTTCCAGTTGAGCATGAGAAGTTAATATTACGAATCGCCCCGTTTCTTTTTTTCGTCTTTTTTTGCAGCCTCCCCATCGTTGCTTCCTGCACTACGTTTAGCTGTGTATGAGTACATGTTCCTCACTCACAACCCACGCTCGCCGCCGCGCGATGCAAAGCTCGTCTCGGTCAGCCGCGCGCGGCGCGCGGCCGCGGCTCGACTTCCCGCCCATTTAAGTCGGTTTACTGGCTGAACGATCAAAGATACGACCAAACGGACCAAATTTTTGCCTTACAGGCGTTAATCCGTCAATTTCACCTAGGATTGACTATCCATTCTACCAGAAATGAACATTTTCGACTGACGCCCTTTAGGGCGCTTGAGAGAGTCCTAAAAATTTTTTTTAAAATGTTTTCCAAAAAACATTCCTTATTTGTACACCTCATAGCACGTTTTGAGACCTGGGGAGCTTAACTTTTCTCAAATTTCAAAAATAAGGGACACCCTAACCTTGGGCACATTCTGAAGAAAGAAATCTCTCATTCCTGAACATTCTCCTGCTTCACTTCAAAAAACCATTCAAAATCTTGAGGAGAACATTTCAAAGAAAACTTGGAAAGCTTCAATTTTTAGAAAACATATCTTCCAAGTAGAACCTTTTTACTCAAATCATTTCAAACGTTCCATTCTTTTAAATAATGCCTCTCTTCTGTTCTAGTTTCCTGAGCCTGATCCAGCTTCCTACAAACCATGGAACGTCAATTTATAGAAACACTCAAGGAATACAGAAGCTATTTCATTTGCAAGATTTCTATTGAAAATATCGAATGATTTCGATGTTACTCAAAATAGTTCAATTAATCGTCTATTTTTATTTTTTTTTATACTGATCATGTACAAACTGTTTACCTTCATTAAAGGTTTTTCTATTTTTTCCTTAGAATTCAGTGTTTCCATTATTTCAGATCTCAAAATACAATCTCACACAAAGAAGATTAATACATCAACTGCGAAGCATAAGTAATGTTTACTCACTGTTTCACTACAGGTTCTTTTTGAAATTTCAAATTTTGAGTGGTGAAAGACAACAGCATTTCTTTAGCCAGGGGTAAAAATTAATCCATGTTCACAATAGTAAAGCCTGACATCTCCGGAGCTCTTCATTGTAGAGCAAAAGAGACCAAATTTTCTAGCCCTACGTCATATCAAAATTTACCTAAGCACCCTCTAGGCCCACGGGGTCTAGGGCCCCATAAGCTCAACTTAAATTTCAGAATTTTTCTGCAGGTCGATTTTGCATCATAATGAAGATGGGTGCTTTTTTGTACAAGAAAAATGCGAATATCTCCTAAATCGTTTGTTTTAGAGTAAAAAGCATCAAATTTTCAAGCACTCCTATATATCTAGATGTGCCTAGGCACCCCCTACGTCCATGGGATCTGTGGCTCTGTAAGCTTAATTTGAATTTTCAAAAGTTTTGTCCTGGTTGATTTTTCATTATGATGAAAATTAATGTCTCTTCATACTGGGAGGATGGAATATCTCCTAAATCGTTTAATGCAGAGTAAAAGAGACTAAATTTGTGGCCCTCCTTAACATATGTTTTTACTTTGTTTCCCACAAGCCCAGGGGGGCTATTCTGTTGTAATCATTATGGGAAGGAAAATAATGGCCTTCTACTTCAAAAAAAGTTACATTAAGACATACTTCAACAACAACACTCAAGGCTTTATATCAATCAAATTTGATTCCATAGATTTTGAGGCAAATAAAATTGATTGGATGCCAACAACATGTGAGATAAAATTATGAAGATAAAATAAAGTAAAATTTGAAGAAATGACATATGATGGCAACCAATATATTGGTACTGCACATTAGCATCGTGACTGTCTCTATCAATGATCTCTTTTGCGCTAATTTTCGGGTTCTTCCAGGGTTTTTATTTGTCATTACAAATTAGTACCTTAACACAGTTAGGTAACAGAAACGATAGAGCCTTTTAAAAAGCCAGTAAAATAAAAATAAATTGGATTCAAGTGTAGAATAAGTTTCATTTACAATGATTTTTCTTCCATTTACTGATTCATTTTGGCGGACTTTGGTTGTCCTTTTCAATAATTCAGTTCCTCAAGTGAACTTACAGTGATGAATGGAGAGGGTAGGAAGAGGGTTCGTAAGTCTTACATAAAAAAGGTACAAATTCTTAGGTCTCTCTTAAAAGTTTTCTATAGATTAATTAATGTGCTGTAAACTGGGAATCTGTATGACAGGAATGAACCCTTGAGCTTGTGTCTCCCACCAAAAAATGTAACATTTCTTGAAAAATCTCACCGGAAAAAATTTTACAGCTTCGGAATACAATTCTCCAAAAAGCTTTAACTAATTGAACTAAGGATGGGAATTGATGTAATCATGTTAAGGCCGCAATTTTTAACAGCGGCAAAATTATGAATGAAACAATGCTACGATGAATCATCTTTGATGCCAAGTTCTTTCTTCCTTTGTTCTATGTCCAGTTTTTTCACAGACTGTGTCTCCTTTCTCTTTTGCTCAATTTCTAGCAACTCAACTTTTTGTTTGTAGTAACCATATCGACACACGGTCCTGAAAAAAATTGAAAATAAAGGCTTACAAGTTATCTGACAGATGAGGATAGATTTGTCAGTCAAGCTCATAATTTGGAGCTTCCCAGGTATGTATTGGCTGTTGTTAAAACCTAGCCATTCCCTTCTCTGATAAGCCCTGAGCCTCATCAGAAAAATCTATACTCTATGCTATTTCTCTGCCGTTAGGGTGTACCTTAATATCCATGTTTGTCCTGTATTCCATTAAACTTCATACTTTACAGGACTCAAATGGAAACGTAGGAACATTCTTACACCAGAATAGTAACTTTTTGAGCTCATTAGATAATGAGCATGTTCAAATTTAACACTGGCCATTTCTTATGACTATATATTCCATAATAGAGGCAAGCAAATGAAATTTTTCATGCAAATTATGGCTTGACATACTAAACAATTTAAGTTAAGCGGGGAAAATATGTTTAAATAATTTTGTTCATTCTCAAAAAGATTCGAGCACCAATTCATATTTTGTCTTCCTCTTCTGTTCAAATTCCAATAAAATTTCTGAGACAACCACAATTTGATTTCAAATTACAATCTTCCCACGCAATCATTTTCCTGACCTCTCCTAGTTTAAAACGGGTTAATTAAAACAGTTTTCACCGCTATTCTTGAATTCTCATTTCTGGCGTTTACCTAAGTCTTTTTGAGAATGACCAATTCAATTGCCAATTCATCCAATGCAAGAGCTATAACGCAGAGAAAATTTTGCGGCTTTTTCGGAGAATCTCTTTAACTATTTGGAGTATAAGATTTTTAAAACCTCTGAAGACTTAACCCATTCGCCTCATTTGACAAGTATACTTGTCAGCGCGCGTGCGGGACACGTCTCAGTTGACGAATTAATTCACAGCATCTATCAACATTGCTATGCAATTTTTTTGACAGTGTTTTTTCACTTTTCCTATAGATAG